GGGTTTCACCATGTTGGCCAGTCTGGTCTTGAACTCCTGACCTTGTGGTCTGCCTGCCTCGGCCTCCCAAAGTGCTGGTATTACAGGTGTGAGCCACCGTGCCCAGCTGCTTTTTTAAGTTTTTAGAGACAGGGTCTTGCCCTGCTGCCCAGGCTGAGTGCAGTGGTGCAGTATTAGTTCACTGTAGCTTTTAGCTCAAGTGATTCTCCCCACTTAGCCGTCACGGTTGCTGGGACTACGGGCATGAGCCATGCTGGGCTGGTTCAGAGCTTACATATGGGAAGTCCAGAGCAGAAAGCCGTGGAAGGAAAGGCATCGTTAGCAGCATCGTCCTGTCCTGGTGCTGCCTTGGCCCATGATCGCCCTGCAGGCTGCAGAGGGTCCCAGGGTTCCTGTTGGTGGTGAAAACCTAGACCTGGTGCCCACCTTCTCATCCACGAGCCTGGTGCAGCGTGGGCAGTTATGCCCTGCTCACACCTGCTCAAGAAGACGGATTATGTTGTTTCTCTGTGTCTTTTTCCCTTGACTTGGACGACTTTACTGCTAATAAGTTGAACTTAAGTAGAATTTTTCAGGAAGGGGAGACAATGGATTTTATTGAGCCTTCTGAGAGAGACTGGCAGATGCCCTGGGTGGGTCGTGCACTCATACACTTGCTCTGTGCTCTCATGCCCCTTTTTATTTTTTTTTTTAATTGAGATGGGGTCTTGCTCTGTCACCCAGGCTGGAGTGCAAAGGTGGGATCTCGGCTCACTGCAGCCTCTGCCTCCCGGGTTCAAGTGATTCTCCTGCCTCAGCCTTCAAAGTAGCTGGTGCTACAGGTGTGTGCCACCACACCCAACTAATTTTTGTATATTTAGTAGAGATGGATTTTCACCATGTTTGCCAGGCTGGTCCTGAACTCCTGAACCTCAGACGATCTGCCTGCCTCAGCTTCCCAAAGTGCTGGGATTATTCAGGCGTGAGCCACTGTGCCCAGCCTCCCATACCCTTTCTTAAGGCCTCTTTTTCAACATTCTGTCTCATCTGCTAAATAACGATGCTGGTATGGGGTCAATAATGTGTTTTTAAATCAAGAGTTAAAATACAGTTATTCTGGTTTTCTCTGCTTCCAAGTAATTTCTCTGTGCTTTCAGCCTCTGCTTGTGGAGTTCTTGGAGCTTCTTAGTCTTGGGACTGTGGCTTCCCGCAGGGAACAGGACCCCGAGAATGGTGCAGTGTAGGAACTCAGAAATAGCAATGTCATTGTTTAAAAGCCACTTGAGCTTTACAGCAGAGGGTCAGATAGCGGAGTGTTTCCGTACATTCTTCACCCACCTTCCCCTCATGGGAGCACTTCGCATAACCTGGCGCATTTATCAAAACTAAGACATTGACCTTGGTGCAGTACTGTTAACAGAACTACAGGCTTTATTTGCATTTCCACACCATCTAGTCCATTTAGCTTTGTGTAATTTTTTCAACGTGAAAAGGCCCTGAGCAGCTGCCTAGGAATCTTCCATTCTGCGGTGTTAAAACAATAACTTAGTAAACGCAGCATGCTTAAACTAAGGATAGACTTGTCAGCTGGGATAACTACGGGAGGTCATAGGAGACTTGTTCTTGGGCCAGCCTCCACACTCCGCAGGGCCTCCTGGGCCAGCCTCCACACTCATCAGGCCTCCCGGCCAGGCCTCCACACTCCTCAGGGCCTCCCGGGCCAGCCTTCACACTCCACAGGGCTTGCTCTGAGGCATTGGTGTAGGGCGGAGCCTGCAGCACCATCCCAGAGCCACCTCTGTGTAGTGTGGCTGCAGAGGGCAGGGCTGCAGCATCTTGGGCATGTGCACAGTCTCCAGACCTCAGTTTCCCTACCTGTGAATTGAACGCGTTGTTTACTCCCTGAGGTCATTCCTCTCTTGGGTATTTTATGACTTCCGGGCCTCTGAGGATCTGTCAGGCCCCAGAGCCTGACCGCCTCCTTGGGCCAGGCCGCCTCCTTCCCCAGCTCTCTTGTCTTGTATGTGGGTGAGTGTTTGCACCCAATCCCCGCGCAGCCGCAGAGGCACCTGTTCTTTATTTCTTCACCTAGTAACCCTAGTCTGTGTGCTCACTGCCCAGGTGGCCACGCAGTCCCTGCTGGGGCAGCAGACCTGGTGTTAGCAGAGCCACGTCCCAGTGGTGTTGACTCACAGCCTTGCTCTGGCCCTGAAGCCGGCCAGCAGTGACTTCCTGCTCTGCAGCTGCAGTCTTGGGTGTGTACCGTAGTGGTGGGGGTGCCCTTGCCCTTGTGAGCTTTGGACCGTGAAGCCAGTAACCTTCCTGCAAAGCTGGGGTGAGCCTGTGTCTGCCTCCCGGGTGGGCGTGAAGCTGCCTATCCCTGAGGTGAGGTGCTCAGACTCCTTCCCGCTGATCTGGCTCCTAAGACAGAACATGCGAGGACGACAGAGAACGCAGAAGATGGAGCGAAACAGACGGCGCCGCGCATCCCTCTGGTCTGTGGGTCTCTTCCTCGGCACAGGGTGGGGGCCGGCCGCGCCCCTTTTGTCAGCGGTTTGACTGGGACACAGTCATGCTCATGTGTCCCCTGCTGCCCAGAGAAGCAGAGCTGTGCCTTGTGACAGAGCCCGAGTCTTCCCAAAGTCTCCCATATTGCCTGGGCCTTTACAGATTTTCTTGTTTGCTGGCCCTGATACAGGGTGTTCTAAAGGAAGTGATCCCTGTCCCCTGGGGTTTTCCTGTGACTGAGCGGGAACCTGGCAGGGTGAGTGGGTTTCCCCGTCGGCGCAAATCACAGAAAACCTCACAGCAAGGCAGCGTCCATGTTGGTGCGTGGCACAAGGGGGACCTGAAGTTGTGGGTGACCTGGGATGGGAGGAGTCAGGCTCTGGGCTGGTGGGGACAGTGGAAGGAGGAGTGTGCTGCTGGCAGGACCTGGAGCTTCCAATGGGGCCTGGCGGTGCCACCCCCGTAGGCTTTGTGCTTGTGCATGTGTGTGTGCACATGTGTGTATGTGCGTGTGTGAGGTAGGTAGTGGGGTCTGGCCACCGCCTTGGTGGCAGTGACCCCTGGGGGGCCTAGTAGCCCCAGTATGTTTCCTTGAGCGTGGGGTTGGTGTGCCATGTGCAGACCCTGGTGGCTGGTGTGTCCATGGACCCTCTGACCTGGAACATGCAGGAGCTTGTGGCACTGAGGTCACGGGGGCTGTTGTGTCCTGGAGGCTGCCTGGTGGCAGTGCAGGGCCGCTCGGGAGTGAGGGGCTGGGAGGGGAGGTGGGCAGCGCCGTGTCGGGGGAGCTGTTGCTACGGGGCTGATTTCCTATGACCCCCGGGCCTTCTGACCATCCCTCACTGCTGGCTTCTGCCCCCAGGCTGGCGCCCATGCGGCTCTACACACTCTCCAAGCGCCACTTTGTCCTCGTGTTTGTCGTCTTCTTCATCTGCTTTGGCCTGACCGTCTTCGTCGGGATCAGAGGTAAGGTTCAGTTTTTCCTCAGTGAATCTTTTGCCCTGTGCGGCGGCCCTGGCATGTTGCTTTTGGCCAGCCCAGCTGTGCCCCTGGCTCCCACTGCCAAGGGCCTCAGCACGGAGGGAGCAGTGCCCACAGGGTGGACAGGGTCCCAGCCCTGCACGTCTGGCTGCTATGTCTCTCCTGAGGGAGGCACAGCGAGCAGCCCCATGTGACCCTGGCCATGCCCTGTGCAGCAGCCGGGGCTGCCGTGACCACATGCCTTTCATTGGCCAAGCAAACATTTCTTTCTTTTCTTCCCTCTTTTCTTTATTTCCTTCCCTCCCTCCCTCCCTTTTCATCTTTTTCTTTCTTTCGAGACAGAGCCTCCTTCTGCTGCAGGGCACCAGGCTGGAGTGCAGTGGCGCAATCTTTGCTCACTGTAACCTCCGCCTCCTGGGTTCAAGCAATTTTCCTGCGTCAGCCTGCCAAGTAGCTGGGACTACAGGTGTGTGCCACCACGCCCAGGTAATTTTTGTATTTTTTAGTAGAGATGGGGTTTCACCGTGTTGGCCAGGATGGTCTCGATCTCCTGACCTTGTGATCCACCTGCCTTGGCCTCCCAAAGTGCTGGGATTATAGGCATGAGCCACCGCACCCAGCCTTCAAGCAAACATATCTAATCTGCTGTGCCCTAGGCCCAGCTGGGCACAGTGCAACCGGAACCTGCTGCCTGGTGGGGGAGACAGGCCGCGCGAGTTACAATGCAGCTGACAGGGTGGGGAGGAGAGTTGGGGGCTGCTGCCTGTAAGCATGGGGCGGGTGGCTGCAGGAGCAGTGAGGTCATCTAGGCCAGTACCCTTTCTCACGGGTGGAGAATCAGAGAAGCCAAATGGTTTCCACAAAGTTCCCAGAGACCCAGGTCTCTTCAGTTGTGTGCGTAGGGCAAGCAACCAGGAGCCTGACTTGTCTGGAGAGAATTTATTCCTCCATTGCTTTGTTTCCGTCGGAAATAAAATGTCTTTTTCCATTAGGGCAATTTCTGGTAGGTGTTGTTTAATTGATGCCCTTAATACTGAAGTGTGAATGGCAATTAGGCTTAACCTGTCCCAGAGGCAATTTGTGCCTCAAAAGGCTAGTTTGTGGCCAGGCTTGGTGACTCACGCCTATAGTCCCAGCACTTTGGGAGGCCAATGCGGTTGGATCACAAGGTCAAGAGTTCAAGACTAGCCTGGCCAAGATGGTGAAACCCCATCTCTACTAAAAATAGAAAAAATTAGCCGGGCATAATGGCGGATGCCCGTAATCCCAGCCACTCATGAGGCTGAGGCAGAGAATTGCTTCAACTCAGGAGGCAGAGGTTTTTGCAGTGAGCCTGGATTGCACCACTGCACTCCAGCCTGGGTGACAGAATGAGACTCTGTCTCAAAAAAAAAAAAAGCTAGTTTCTTACCCCAAACTGCGTTGGTAAATGGACGAGGAAGCTGGGGGAGAGGGTGGCTCTTCAGGTGCTGTTTATCTGATGGTGATAACAGCTGTAGCCAACTTCTTTCCCGTAAAGTCATCAAGAAGTAAAAATTATATTAATTACAGTGCAAGATATATCCATGATCTTACTTGATTTTCACTGCCATCCTTTAAGATTGGTAGGGGAGGCATTAACATTCTCATGGTCTCCAGTCTCAGTGGGACCTCAGCCACTTTCTGTTCTTGAAGCCACTCTCTGTCTCAAATGTGCATGATTATATCCAGCCCTCTCCGCTCTTGCAGAAATGTGAAGTGATGCACCAAGGCTGAGATACAAGTGAAGTCAGGGTTTCTCTGTCCCCTTCGTTCTTCCATACAGTACTCTGTTAGTCAGGGCTCTCCAGAGAAACAATCAATAGGAGATACCTGGCTAGCCTTCCTGCCTGTCTATCCTGTCTGTCTTTCTAACTATTATAAGGAATTTGTTCACATGATTATGGAAGCTGGGAAGTCCAAAGATCTGCAGTCAGCAAGTAAGAGGCCAGGAGGGTCCATGATGGTAGTTCCAGTCTAAGCCCAAAGCCACGAGAACTTAGGAGAGCTGGTGGAGTGGGTTCCAACCGAGTCCAGGTCTGAAGGCAGGAAAAGACCAGTATCCCAGCTGGGTATAGAGAGAGCCCGGCCAGAAAGAGCGAGTCCTCCCTTACTCAGCCAGTTTGTTTTATTCAGGCCTTTGATGGATTGGATGAGGTCCACCCACATTGGAGAGAGCAATCTGCTTGACCCAGTCTACCGGTTCACATGTTAATCTCATCCAGAAATGACCCACAGACACAGTAGAATAATGTTTAACCAAATGCCTTGACACCCATGGCCCAGTCATGTTGACACATAAAATTAAGTATCATGAGCACGCTCTGCTCCTGATTATTTCATGTGATAAGGTTATTACAGAGTTAGGAGTACCTCAGGGACTATTGGCTTAGTAACTGTCATTTTGCAGATGAGGAAATCAAGATCCAGAAAGTCTTGTTAGTGAAGACTAGAGTCCAGATATTTCTTTTTTTTTTTTTCTTTTTTGAGACAGTGTCTCACTCTGTTGCCCAGGCTGGAGAGCAGTGGCGCGATCTCAGCTTGCTACAACCTCCACCTCGCCAGTTCAAGCGATTGTCCTGCCCCAGCCTCCTGAGTATCTGGGATTACGGGAGCCTGCCACCACGCCTAGCTAATTTTTTTTTTTTTTTTGTATTTTTAGCAGAGGCAGGGTTTCACCGTGTTGGCCAGGCTGGTCTTGAACTCCTGACCTCAGGTGATCCAGACTCCTTGGCTTCCCAAAGTGCTGGGATTACAGGTGTGAATTACCACGCCCAGCCGAGTCCAGGTTTTTCTGACTCCCAGTTCTTAATTATTTCCAGGAAACCAGACTGTCTTACTTCCTGGGTTAGGAGTTTACTTAGATCATGAATCTGTTTAACAGGAGCCTCATTGTGCACACAAGCCTCCTTCCTACATAGAGACGTCGTTCCCAGCATTCCTAAACACATTCCAGAGACACACTGCCCTGGTTGTGTATTTCCTTCTTTTGAGTGGAAGCTTGTTGGTTGCAGATGGGGGATTGTCACTGAGGTAGCTCAGAAAAACTGATATCACCAGTTGAGAGTGGTATGTTTTGAAACAAATCCAGTTCTTCTTCTTATTTTTTTTTTTTTTGAGACGGAGTTTCACTCATGTTACCCAGGCTGGAGTAAAATGGCGTGATCTCGGCTCACCGCAACCTCCACCTCCTGGGTTCAGGCAATTCTCCTGCCTCAGCCTCCCGAGTAGCTGGGATTACAGGCACGCACCACCATGCCCAGCTAATTTTTTGTATTTTTAGTAGAGACGGGGTTTCACCATGTTGACCAGGATGGTCTCGATCTCTTGACCTCGTGATCCACCCGCCTCGGCCTCCCAAAGTGCTGGGATTACAGGCTTGAGCCACCGCGCCCGGCCTAACAAATCCAGTTCTAAATTAAATTAAAATAGGATTCACAGTGTTTCCTTTGACTACTTCTTTTAAGGCCAAAACTCTGAAGAAATGCATTGTAGGAATTATGAAGCTTGGAGAGGATTCGGGGAAGATGGAGTAGGAATCTATGTCCTCTACTTAGAGGACAACTGTGGTGTCAGAATCTGTGGTGTAACTGTTTTGGAAACTCCAGAGTCTCTTGAAGGCTTGCAACTTCACAGGGAATGCTTGTACATTAGATTGTGGTTAATTTTGGTCAGTGCAGTCCTTAGCAGGTACCCGTCCTCCACTGCAGGCCTGTAGCAGGCAGCTGTGTGTTCTAGAGCTTGTAGAAACCAAGGTGGGCAAAAAGGACCCTGTCCTGCAGATATCAGGGATCTGTGCTCTGATTGCTGCTGCTGCTTCTAATGGCAGAAGTACAGTGAAGAAAGAGTGGCTGCTGCCATTGTACCTCCCTCAGTTGTTGCAACCCTCTCCCTCTCTGGCTAAAGTTACTTCCAGGGGATTTAAAGGGCTGGCACTTTTTTTACACCCTCATTTTTCCCTTTGTCCTTTTTTGGGAGCCAGACATCGAAGACCAGGACATTGAAAACTGCTAGGAAATTTCGAAAGTCACCACACCTGCCCAGAGGAAGGCGCCGGCTCAGAACGGGCCTGAGAAGACTTGAAGTTTAAACCTCAGGCTGATCATTTGCACAGAGACAGTCTGTAACAACAACAAAAACAAAAATATGAAAATGGGTAACAGGAAACCCTGGGGAAGGGGAGAGTCTGGTTTCCAGAGGTACATTATTAGATTTAAGTGTTCACTTTTCAGCAAAAGGTCACAAGGCAAACAAAGCCACAATAAAGTATAACCCATCAAAAGGAAGAAAAGGAACCATCAGAATCTGTCCCTGAGTAAGACCATATGACAGACCTGTTAGACAGAGACTTTAAAACAACTGTTTACAACTGTCTCAAAGATGTCCAAAGAACTAAATGAAGAGACATGGAGAAAGTCAAGAAAACACTGTATGAATAAAAAGATAGAAAACATAAAAGGAAACTAAAATATTCTAGAGGTGAAAAGTACCCTAGAGGGATTCAGAGGCAGAGTTGAACAGGTAGAGGAAAGAATCAGCGAGTCAGAAGATAGGACAATGGAAGTTTTTGAGAGTGAGGAACAGAAAAAAAGGAGAAGAAAAATGAACAGAGACTGAGGGACCTTTGGGACACTGTCAAATGGACCAGCATACACATTGCGGGTGTCTTGAGAAGGAGAAGAGCTAGAGAATGGGTCAGAGAGAATATCTGAAGCAGTGATGACTGAAAACTTTCCAAATTTGATGAAATGTGAATGTAAACATCCCAGAAGCTCAACAAACTCAAAGTAGGATGAACTCAAAGAGACCCACCCTGGGATGCATTTATAATGAAACTGTATATACCCAAAGACAGATTCTTGAAAGCAGCAAGAGAGTCACTCATCGCATACAAGGGATCATCAGTAAGTTTGTCGGCAGATACCTCATCAGAAGCTTTGGAGGCCAAAAGGCAGTGGGCTGATGTATACAGAATCGATAATATGGGTGAATCTTGAGGACATTATACTAAGTAAAATAAGCCAGTGGCAAAAAGATAAATACAGTAAGATTACATAGGGTACTTAGAGTAGCCAAGATCATCAGTACAGAAAGTAGAGTGGTGGCAGCTGGCGACTGCAGGGAGGGGAATGGGGAATTGTTTGATTGGCACCGTGCTTCAGTTTCACAAGATGAAAAGAATTGTGGAGATAGCAGTGATGGTTGCACAGTATGAACGTACTTGCTACCACTGAACTGTACACTTAAAAATGGCTCAGATGGTCCGGGCGTGCGGTGGCTCATGCCTATAATCTCAGCACTTTGGGAGGCTGAGGCGGGCGGATCATGTGGTCAGGAGTTTGAGACCAGCCTGACCAACATGGTGAAACACCGTCTCTACTAAGATACAAAAATCAGCTAGGCATGGTGGCGCATGCCTATAATCCCAGCTACTCAGGAGGCTGAGGCAGGAGAACTGCCTGAACCAGGGAGGCGGAGATTGCAGTGAGCCAAGATCGTGCCACCTGCACTCCAGCCTGGGTGACAGTGAGACTTGTCTCAAAAAAAAAAAAAAAAAAGGCAGATGGCAAGGTCTTGAGTCTATAGGGAAAAACAATGGTTAAGATGGCAAACCTTTATGTATATTTTATCACAATAAAATTGGGAGAAAAAGAATTGGTGATGTTTGTACACCTGTTATTATTTCAGTTAAAACTTTCTGCTTTCCTGCTTATATTAGCACATATTATGTTTATAGCCCTTAATAAGCATTTTTGGAAGATGGGATTAATTGGATGAGCAGATAAGTGTGTCTTAGTTTTTGGAAGAAATCTTTGTATTTTACAAAATATATAAGACAAAGTCTCTACAGTTAATGCCCTCTGGGCCCATGCATGTAGAGACAGCGCTTGCTGGGAACACAGCAGGGCATTGCCTGTGGAAACCCTGTATGTCATGTGCCAGGCGTACTGGTTGACTTGTGTTGGGAAGTCAAGAGGCACAGCAGAGTGGACATTCTGTGTCTGCGTTTGTGTGTTTATGTGTTTTACTTACACATTGTAAAATCTCTAAAGAAAAACCAGGTAAATTAAGGCCACTTCCATGTAATGTATAAATCTTTCTTGGAATTTGGAAAAAAATCTTAAATTACCAATGTAGCTATAACCTGCTTTTGCCCTTTTCTGTTACACTTTAGGACCTAAAGTGATCCAGACTTCTGCGGCAAATTTTTCTCTAAATAATAGCAAAAAGGTAAGACTGGGTCTGGGTGGCAGCTGGGTGGTAGGGTACATTATAAACCTCAGGCCACTGAGAAGTGGTTCTGCTTAGAGTCTAAGGCAGCCTGCCCTTGCCTTGTGGCTTCTGAGGCAACACACATTTCTTACTCCATTGTCAGCCGCTGGCTTCTGGGTTCTCGTTTGCTAAAGTGACCATTTCTGTTGTAATAAATACCTCAGTACTTAGGAACATGATGGTATTACTTCTTAGGGAGCAATTGTTCATTCAAAAAGAGTGGTTAACTTATCCTGATTCCTTGCATCTGTTAGTCCTGTCAGATTATAATTTTTAATAATGACACCACTTAGGTGTCTCATCTTTCTTATTTTGCCCAAGTTAAGAATTGGCCTCTGTCAGGTTTCTGATGATCCAGTTCTTTCCAGTGATTACTTTGTATTCCTTGTGTGAACTCAGTTTAAATGAAAAATCCCGTCGAGCTAGGTGGCTCCTGCTTGTGATCCCACCACTTTGGGAGGTCGAGGCGGGCAGATCACGAGGTCAGGAGTTCGAGACCAGCCTGGCCAATATGGTGAAACCCCATCTCTACTGAAAATACAAAAATTAGTCAGGCATGTTGACATGCAACTGTAGTCCCAGTTACTCGGGAGCCTGAGGCAGAAGAATCGCTTGAACCTGTGAGGCGGAGGTCGCAGTGAACCACGATTTTACCACTGCATTCCAGCCTGGTGGACAGAGTGAGACTG